CTATCTATCTATCTATCTATCTATCTATCTATCTATCTATCTATCTATCTATATCTATCTATCTATCTATCTATCTATCTATCTATCTATCTATCTATCTATCTATCTATCTATCTATCTATCTATCTATCTATCTATCTATCTATCTATCTATCTATCTATCTATCTATCTATCTATCTATCTATCTATCTATCTATCTATCTTTCTAATCTAATCTATCTAATCTAGACTGACTGTCTCTAGCCTCACTGACCGACCATAGAAAACCAGTAATAATAGCCCTCTGCTGCTCATTGTTGACAATTCCCTAGTTTCAGAACAGCAACAATAGGGAACAAAATATGTTGCCATCTTGTCCACGCCACTCACAGAAAGAACTACTGAAGAACAGCTGTCCATATCCTTCGGGGACCCGGCAGTAAGTCACTTAGCATCCTTTTATGCACGTCATAGAGGGCGACTAGGAAAGGCTAGCGTTAAGAAGATGAAGAAGGGGAGGAGAAGAAGAAGAAGAAACCAATTCAGACAGGTCGGCGAAGACCACTTGAAGCAATCGATGCATCAACAAGAACTCGCCCGGGCCCGCAAATGAAGACAATAAGAATCTACATTTGTTAATTTATTTCTTTTCCTCCAGAACTGCTTCCAAAAAGTCTGACGCTAGTACCACTCAAACAGGACGCCACAACAACCCAAACAGTCACATTATGGATACCAATCTAACTAGACACATTCCACACATCCAGTTCAACTTTAAAAATGACAGAAATGGACGCACTACGCTACTCTAAGTAATACCTTGTTGTCCTATGTGAGTGAGTATAACGTTCACAAAAGTAAGCTGGTAACAAATGTACGAAGCAATGGGAATCGAACCAGACACTCTAGTAAAAGCCGTCGCCGAAAGAAATGCGTATTTAATAATGTTATGCTAGATGGGGGAAGAATGGGGGGGGGGGGGAGGATTCCACCACGTTCACCCTGTTGCTAGAAGCAAATTTGCTATCAGCATTCGGTTATGTTTGTGGTCTGGTTTACTTGTGCCAAGAGTATTGGCTGAAACTGGGGTATCTGTGCTGGGTTTGATGTGTATCAAATGCTCCAGAGCTGCTGATTGGAAATTCCCCTAGCAATCGCCGAGACAATGTAGCGACTGGCGCAGACAGATTTACGCGGGGCTTGTCTTCCCCGTCGTCCTGTCCACTGACGACTTTTAATGGTGTCTTCAACACAGGCGTATCGCTACGATCTTACATCCACTCAAGGGGATTCCACAACGAAGACTATGACACACAGCAGTTGCTTGGCAATAAATCGCCTGGTCTTTATACAGAACCTTTAAACACAACAGAAAAACTGCCGTGAAAATGAGAATGAACACGCCTATGAGTGTCTCCTATCAAACGCGAGGCCAAAGAAAAAACACCGGGGGCTACCCTCCCCTACTATTAATTTTTTAGTCTATGGAGGGCTTTAACCTTGTTTAAATGCGTAACAACATTGACATTCATTATTTTATTAAATTAATATTGGGCAATTCAACCTAGGTTCCAAGTATAGTATTGGATTTATTTGTAATCTTATTATTATTTTTATGCTGAATGGTTAGTTAGACTTAGACTTGGGAAAAATCAGCTGCAGATCGACTACTTTGGTAACAGAAAGTGAAAGATGGATTTTCGCATTTTGAAAGAAACCGAACGCAGCGAGCTATTGAGAGGAGGCGGCAGAGAACAAATCAACCTCGTAGCGAGGGAAGTATCTACTTTTTGTGTATATCCTATGTGGCAGAGACTGTCACTCCCGCATTGAACTCAACAGTCACAGCAGACGCTGTTCACAAAGCCAGCGGCACATCTCCATAGTCGCCAGGAACTGACGGATGCCATTATTACTCTTGAATGGTTAGTTAGTCGCATATCCTTTACAGGCGGCTCTCGTTAACACTGTCGAAACCAACGCAAGACGTTCTGCTGCCAAATCGCCCGAACCTGGGATAGAACACAGGACCCAGGCATTACGAAGCACGTTCGCAACGTCTAATCAACGCTCGATAAATGAAGCTGAGCCTCTTGACTTCAACTGAACTTTAATACTTCACTTTTAGAAATCTATTTATATTGTGACACTAGCAATGATCAATGTGAAGAAAGAAGCCAAATACTCAACTTGTAAACATCTAGCTGTACGGTAATATAACACAAATGAACAACGTTTGGACTGAACGCAAAATACTGCACACTCCGGAATTAAGTCTGCTATGAAATAATCCTGTTAATATTACACCTATAAAGCCCTTTCCAACTTGGTATCCCTGCCAAAGTTGTTGGATACAGGGGTGCAACCTGGAGCCGCCAAACAAGAATATTTCACTAAAGACCGAGATGTCTGACAAATCGAAACAGAATGGGTGTGAACTGTTTTTCTACGCTTGTGGAACTGCTGAGGAGAAGATTGGTAAACCTATGTATGGATCTGTCTTTGGTAAACCTATGTATGAATCTGTCCTTGGTAAACCTATGTATGGATCTGTCCTTGGTAAACCTATGTATGGATCTGTCCAGTAATGACAGCCGTCTCTAATCACGAATCACTTCTTTGAAACCACGAACAGCTATCCTGAGTATTAACGCTATCTATGACTTCAGTAATGCAAAGATTAGCCTTTAAGATACACAGTGAAAGATAATCCCCCTAGTTAATGGCCGCCGCAGGTATGTAAAACTTAAACATCAGGTCACTGTTACATTGGGTTAGGGGACCTCACTTAGCTTGTCCCTACCCAACCCCAGAATGAAGCCAAGTGACATACATCAACTGACCTTGTTTCGGCTTAAGGCGCTTTGCAGACATTATTGAAAGCTAGAAGCAGAAGTATCAGACAGTTACTTACCTCTGATTTTACACGGCTTGGACCATACAGATGGCACCAGTCTTAGACCAAGCCGCTATGTTGATGCTCAGGAAAAGACTGACAGACTTTCATGCATGTATCAAAAAAGAAAAAGAAGGAATGGAAAATGACGTAGTATACAGGCAGAAAAACGGCAATAGAGATCACTTGTGAATGCTTTGTGTGTCCACAGCCATAAGAAGAAGGCATACCTATAGATCGAATGGATCAATTTCACTGAAAATGTTATACCTAATCACATTCTTAAAGTATTCTATTATGCAATTTTTCAATCCTCTTCGGGTCACCGCATACGCGACCCGGCATTCATTGACTGTTGTTGTTTTTCTATATATTAATAAAGCAACAGAAATTTATTGATCTGCACTCGTAGAAGGAAATATAAAAATGGAAGAACACATTAGACAACATAACAATCGAAAGCTATAATTACCGTGCCAGGAATCGAACCTGTCATCTCCAACAAGTGAACTAAGAAATTGGCCAACTAGGCACCCCCTAAAAAGGTGTCTTATTGGCCAACTATAGAATACGGACAGAATTAATTTTAAACCATTGAAATGGCACCATAGGTTGCATAAATTTATATAAACGAAGCATATGTCGAATAACAAGCACAGCAACAATTTATGAACACAGTAGATCTAAAGCTATGTCTAGAATACACAAACATTTAAGAAAGGTATTTGACTGGTAGGTTCCGGTGTGTATACGTTATTCTCATAAATAAACAGAGGGGGAACCCTTGAGGCCGTTAAATATTATATATTAATAAAGTAACAGAAATGTATTGATCCGCAATCATAGAAAGAAATAGAAAGATAGAACACAACATGAAAATCGAAAGCTAGTTATGTTTTCTATAGTCCGTTCCAGAAGTGATGGACAACTTTAAAAACATATAACTCAGTAAGGGTTAGGTGTAAGTTGTTGAAATTTGGCATGCAACCTGTTAATAATCATGCCATTGTGACATTCTTTTTTAAATGTAAACAAACATGTAGCTCTCATTTTGCTTTATTAGCGGTATATGGAAGACAAAAATGGACATAAATTCAAAACAAACAATCAGCACGCTTACAATTAAATGAGAAACGGGAACTATTCAAAACATCAAATCACATTAGTTTCACTCTCAGATAGTCATCTCCAGCATAAGCTTCCCGTGAGTTGTGGATATTTCATAGAATGGAGGATAGGTTATCAAAATAATAACCACGCATCACTTTATACTTAAATTTATTTTCCAGCAATCTCCAAACATGCGTAAATTACTTTCTTCTTCTTCTTTTGTTCACTTAAAAAAGATTATCTATATCTATGATTCTGTCTCTAGTATTTATCTCTATCGTTCCCGCATTTTTGTCTACATTACTACCCAAATAAGTGTATGACTCATCATTTTGGAGTGGGATATGAAAGAAATTACACTACTGTTTGCCTTGTTTATTCTCATTATTTTTGTCATTCTCTTATGGATTTTGAAGCATAAAGTGCTTGACTTATTTTAAGAGAGCAACTGGCACTTAGGGTATGATGTGGTCAACATCACACCAGCCTTTCTAATTTCCAGACATTATTATGGTGCCCATCTTAGGCTTGGCTAACATGGAAACAATGGTACATTTTAAAAAAAAAATAATCTGACTTAGTGTTGATTCAAACCGCAAAACCTGAAAAACACATACTCGGACCGCAGGACCTGAAAAAACACATACTCCACTTCAACTGAAATTTGCAAAGTATCAACTTATTCCCACAAAGAAACAAAATAATAAAAATTCACTGTCAAATAAGAATTGTAAACTAGAGCATCCTTAACTGAGAACTGTATAACAGTGCTCATCATTGACTGCAAATTACGAAATAGTGCCTGCTCAACTGAGAATTGTAAAATAGTGCAACCTCAACTGGCAATTCCAAATTAATGGATTCTCACTAGAAAATAAAAAATAACTAATTCCAAACTGAGACTTAAAAATTCAAACATTTCAACTGGCAATACAATTTTAACTCATTCTAAACTGAGAATTTTCAGTCAACTTAAAATTTAAAACATCAATGACATAAACATTATAAACTTACCTGACACACTAATCTGGAACATCCCTGTACGTGGTACATCAGAGTTCAGCCGTGGGTCAAGAGTCACTTCCCCTGATGTCTCATTTAAATGAAGCAACTCAGCCTTGTTGCCTGACAGGATTTTGTAAACCAAACGATCACGATCAGAGACATCAGGATCAAATGCTGGAATTCTACCAATGGGCCCGCTAGGGAACATACCACCAAAGTTGTTGAAAATAATGGAGAAATCCTCCAAGATTGGAGGGTTATCATTAACATCTTGAACTTTGATAATAACTTTTGCTGAAGATATCCGGGTACCTGAAGCTGCTCTCAGGGTTATCTCGTATTCTTTCTTGCCTTCCTCATAATCCAACTGTACCATACTCTTGATAATTGCCGGATCATCCCGTCGACCAGCCAGCTGGAACTTATCCGAATCTCCACCACTGGCTATAGTATAATCCACCAAAGCATTAATACCAACATCCGGATCCACTGCTGAGATCACAGCTACAGTTGATCCGATGGGCGTATTCTCATCGATCATCACCACAAACTCCTTGGTTTGAAAAATAGGGCTGTTATCATTGACATCTAACACATCAATGTGGATAACAACGGATGAGGACTGTGGATGTACAGGATCTAAATCAATTGCCAATGCTACCAAGTCATATGAAGGTTTTACCTCTCTGTCAATTTCTTTTGCCAGACGAATCCACCCTTGGTTGTCTATGCTGAAAGCCCCGTTACCATCATTCCCACCTTCAAAGGTGTACCGAACTTGACCGTTGATGCCTTCATCTTTGTCCACAGCTGTGATATTCAGGATTTTGAATCCTGGAAGAGCATCTTCTGATACGGATCCCTCATATTTATATTTGCTGAACTCTGGTTTGTTGTCATTGACATCTTTGACCGTAACAGAAATCTCTGCTGTGGCAGAGCGTGACGGTTTGCCATTGTCTGTTGCCGTCACTGTTAATGCATAGAGGGACACAGTCTCTCTGTCCAGCCGCTGTCTTGTTGTAATGACACCTGTGTTTGGATCTATAGTAAATACCGGCATGGGAGACAATGAGTAAGTGATTCTGGCATTTTCCCCAACATCATCATCTAGAGCTAATACTTGAAATACAGACTTGCCAACAGTAACATCTTCACTGACATCAAAGAAATACTGCTGATCTCGCTGAAACTTGGGAGCAAACCTGTTTGTGTCTAAAACAAAGATGGTGACATCCACGGAATCACTCTGACCTCCACCATCTTGAGCTGACACTGTCAGCACATATCTATTTTGCTCTCTAGCATCCAATTTCCTGTTGACCGAAATGACTCCCTCTCTTGGTCTGATCTGAAAAGCATCTTTATCATTGCCACCAGTTATCCTGTATGTAATCAGGGCATTGCTTCCTTCATCTCTATCCTGAGCTGAAACTGTTATTACTGGGTCACCTTTAACTGCCTCTTCTGATATGGAAGCATTGTATGACTTCTCCTTGAACACTGGAGCATTATCATTGAGATCATTAACTCTGATACTAACAGTGACGCTAGAACTTAGTGGCGGCTTTCCGCTGTCTTCAGCTTTGACTTGGAAAACAAAACTGGAATTTGTTTCACGGTCAACTTGTGCTCTAGTTTTAATGACACCAGTGTGAGGGTCTAATTCAAAAGGGAATGAGCTTGGGGGATTAACAACTGAGTATTTTATGACAGCATTTTGGTCACTATCTTGATCATCAGCTTGCACAGTAATGACAACACTACCAACAGGAATATTTTCATTTATTGATGTTTGGTATGAAGGTTCCAGAAAACTGGGCACGTTATCATTAACATCAAGAACTTTAACTAAAACAGTGGTTGAATTCCATTTGGAGGGATTTCCTTTGTCGTCTGCTCGGATATTCAATGCATATTCATGAATGTTCTCATAATCAAGTGTGCCAGTTAGGTACAGCTGCCCTGTAAACTGACTGATATTAAAAGTTTCTTGACCAGCACCAGTGAGTCGGTAGGAGACTAATGCATTGTCTCCTGCATCTGCATCAACTGCCGTCACATTAATGATCTCCCTTGCTACGCTGGGTGCCTGGTTTTCTGGCAAGCTAACGGTATAACTACTTTTCAGAAACATTGGAGAGTTATCATTCTCATCTGCAACATTGACCCACAAGGTATACGTGGATGACCTTCTCTGATTCAGGTCACCTTGGTCCATGGCCAGAATCAGCAGCTTATACGATGAGACTTTCTCACGATCCAGCGAATGTAAGGTGGAAATTGTACCAGAAAGGGGATCAATCATAAATGCATTATTTGGATATGCAGGATTAAGAATGCTGTAGCGGATCATTGCATTGTCTCCGGTGTCTTCATCAACAGCAGCTACAGTAAACTCCTGCCTGGGAGATCTGTTCTCATTGATGTTAATTCTAGAACTGCTTGGTGTGAAGGTAGGGTCATGGTCATTGACATCATCAACAATGATGGATAGATAGGTGGTGGCACTTCTTCTTTCAGACACTGGCTGAGCATTATCTGTTGCATATATTGTGAAAGAATGCTTGGACATGGTTTCCCGGTCTAGAACCTGTTTGGTTTTAATAAGCCCTGAAGATGAGTTAATAACAAACATGTCAGAACTTCTCAAGTCTTCATTGGCTTCCATCTTGTATGTCAAAGTGCCAGCCTCACCAATATCTGGATCAGTTGCTGTTATAGTTATGACAGACATACCTGGCTCCTGTTCTTCTTTGATGTTTTGGATGTACTGAGGTCTGGCAAAACTTGGAGCTCTGTTTCCATTTTGTCTTTTTCGTCTGTTCAGGGACTTTTCTGTGCTAGTTATATTGTTTGATTCTTTGTGAAAAGTTATAAAATAATGTATAAATTGGCGAACAGATTTCTGGCAGACGAATGTTAACTGTAATTCAACTCTGACTTCATCGTTCACACAAAGGTCCTCACTAAAAGTCATATCCAAAGACCTGGGATTTATGTTCACATTCAAAGTCCTGGGTATGATATTTATGTCGCAGGAATGAAAATGGAAGGGGATGATGTCATATAACGATAGAATTGTCCGTTTTGATGTGAAACAAAAGTCTGAAGAAGGTACTTGAATGAACACTGTGTGTTTATGATGGGCTGTCTCCTTCATCTTCTTCCATAACCAGTCCTTGTGGAACGCTTTACATAATCGGCCATGGATAAAAACTGAATATGGAATAACACAAGACATTTTCCGTGTGAGTGAATTTGGCTGGATCACATCTCTGGTGGACGACACCTGGAACTGTAGTAAGTTGGCCTTAGTTTTTCTACAATCTAACTTCTTCCGCTGCTGGATGACCCCGCTGTAGGGTGTGCGTAATGAAACAATCGCCAGGGATCGTTTGCTGGAAGGACTGTCGATAGTATACCTCCATCCATACCCAGGTAGAGACGAGTTGACTATGGTTTCTCCAATATGTGAACCGGTCAGGTGGACTTCAAAAGAAACGGTGGGCATGCTTAAGGCTAACACAATGAATACTGACTGTATCAAGGAAATCATTGCTGGGAGATCTTTATTTCCTGCTCTACCAACAGCGTCCTTCTGTTTTGAGACCTTGATCAGGGTAGCCATAGTAACCATTTATAAATTTATGCACGTATGTATTTATCCGTATCCGATTCATGCATTTTAAAAACTAGCATACTTCAAAGAATGCTCGCATTCGTATAAAAGCCGAGAAATGAGAAGACTACACATGCGTGACGACCACTCACCGTTGTCTCATTTACGCTCCACTAGGGCCTTCTTCTACCTTGTCTCTGTCACTTTCGCCCATATTTTGTCACATCTCACGCCTAATCTTACACATGTTCACTAATACACATCAAACAGAATAATCAAAATACACCAGCACAGACGGAATCATTCAACACACACGGCATTTCTTTCAGTCCTTTCGGCGTGTTTATCCAAGCTTTTTGAAATGGGACCGCTTGGCTGGAGTATGTTGTCTGATCAAATCACCGCCCCTCGTAGCGACACGGACTGAGCAGAGCAGGCAGCGTTAGTGACTTCCCGCTGTCGCTACACACTCCCTCTTGGTCGTGTGTCCACTGAAGACCCGCCGACTGCCTCATTTGATGCTTTCTTTTTAACTTTACTACTATATATATCCCCCCAATATTATGTTAACTACTGTGAAACTTTTTTATTATTATACTTAACTAAAGCTTGATGACGAATGCTTTTCTATACCTGCTGCTGTGTCACAAGCCACGGAGGAGGGAAAAGCAACAGCCAGACGGATTGTCACGTGAACAAAGGTGTTCGATACACATTTCAGCCAGGTAGGAGGGTTGGCTTTTTTCTTCTCTAAATCAATGAACAGTGTAGAAGTGGAGAGGAATGCCAGACCGCTCTTAACAGTCAGGTTTAACGAGACGCGGCGATACACTACGTCTGTGCTGGAATCCTTGTAAAGACCAGCGGCGACGTGTTTATGGAAAAGGGACGTCAGCTAAGTGGTTTTGTAAAGCAAAGTGCTCAGTTTCTTTCTAGTCGACACCACGGATACCTTGGAAAATCTCCCGAGGACATGGAAATAATTCGATTTTCTTCTTCTTCTTCTTCTTCTTCTTTTTCTTCTTCTTCTTCTTCAATACTTTTTCTACCAATGGAGCACAGCACTGACGCTGAGCCAAACAAAACAAGAAAGAAAAGGGGTGCGGTGTTTCCAGGGGTGCTCAATGAGCCTTATCCTAGTTTAACTGCTTAACAATAATAATAGCTAATAAATATAATAATATAATGGAGGGGTTGATGGCTAATTTATAATAATATATTTAGGGAAATGTATAAATACTAGCGTACATACTTATAAAGAGAACTATACTTGGTGGGGAGGGGGGAGGGAACATGTATTGTACTTGAACCCCCAGTTTCCGGCACACCTGGAGCAAGGGCCTTGAACCAACTCCTGACGTTCCCTCTTAGAGTTTGTCGTCTATTGCAGATTTGTCTAGGCCCCTCCCACCTTGTTCAACTTTGCCTGATGTGTCTAATTCCTTTTTTTTTTAAACCTTAAAGGACCCTTTTTTCACGCTAGACCTACATTTTATAGACCAACGGCACAAGATGGGTGATGTGGTCAGCATCACTCCGGCCGCCTTTAATTCCCGAGACTGCACCCGGTACCCACTCAAGGCTGGGTCGACCTGGGAGCCAAGGTTATTTTTTGAAGAAAAGTCCGGCTCCGCCAGGGAGCGAACCCATGACCTTCCGATCCGGGGCGCGCGTGTAGCCGCTCAGCCACGGCGACTCCCGAGTAATTCCATTCGTCTTATATTTCATTTGTTTTATTACATCCTCTTTTTTTTCAAATTTATGCACATTTTTAACATTTTATGCACGCAGTGCCCCCCTCCCCCCCATCCCCCCCCCCCCCCATAAAACAAACAACAACATTTTCCGGATAAACGATCATCTTGCCTTTCCTCTGAGCCTCGAGCATCTGCCAGAACCTCTCGTCCAGTGTTGCCACTTTTCTTTGTCAAAAAATATCCAAATTGGTGTCAAAAAATATCTTAAAAAGATCAAAATTTGCGTGGAAAAGATCTAGAAAAAACATCCAAATTGAAAAAGTCAAAAATTTCATAGCTTTTGTTATGACTTACCCTACATAATCATGTCCTCATCTTCACTGATGTCTGCCTCACAAGTTCCACAGGATGAACTTAGCTTGGATAATGAAGTTGAAGCTTCAGATCCAAAATGACCCTGGTATGCTTTAGCTGTTCAAATTTCTTTAAAAGTGAACAGTATGCTTATTTCCCTAGTCTCAGCAGGCCGAATTTTAATGGCACGATAGCATTTAAGAGGTCAAATTTCATCCTGTTTCTTAGGTTAGATATGATTAAATTCCTAGCACTGAAAACTCTTTCTACGTCAGCATTATAGTGGGGTAGTATCATGGCAGACATGGCACTTTTAAAGAGCTTACAGAATGGACTGTTTGATGAGGCATCTTTAAATTGTCTCACTTCACTTCAAAACGCTTTCGTTTCTGTTTTGTTTGTCCATTCAGCTAACTTTATTTTGGTTAACTGATATTCTGCTTCCGCGACACGTAGCCCCTAAAAATTTCATAACTTTACAATATTTAGGTATGTCCTTTATTGGCTGAAGTATGTTGCTCACAGAAAAAAGTGAAATATTTTTCAAAACATCTAGATTTTCAGGAAGTCTGCTTCAGTTGCTTGAATAATAAGATAAGGAAATCTTGACAGCGTTTTCTTAAGTTGTTTTCTTCATTCTCTGTTAACAGTCCTTTTGTTTTTAAATCATCAATTTTTGATTCGATTTAATATCCAAGCTCAGTGTAGCAGAAACCTGCAAAAAGATTAACAAATCTATCATCCGAGCCACCTGAGAAGCGCAAGACAAATACAGAAAACAACGACACTGGGCTACAACCTGGTATCAGTGAGACGACAAAGGAAGAAGAAAAAGTTGACTGGTTTTTATTTTTATAAAAGACAAACTAGTTTAATCTATAACCTCTGTCTCATACATGACTTGCAAATGATACATGAAGTGACTTCACTCGAGACTCGACTTAGAAGTATTCTTGGTGACTGGAGTCTTGACTTGGGACTTGGTGGCAACGACTTGGGACTTGGTGGCAACGACTTTGGACTTGGTGGCAACGATTTGGGACTTGGTGGCAACGACGACTTGGGACTTGGTGGCAACGATTTGGGACTTGGTGGCAACAACGACTTGGGACTTGGTGGCAACGACTTGGGACTTGGTGGCAACAACGACTTGGGACTTGGTGGCAACGACTTGGGACTTGGTGGCAACGACTTGGGACTCGATTTGCACTTGAAGAGTGACGACTTAGTCCAAACTCTGGCGATTAATTGTCTGCCTCGCTCTCGTCGTGGGTTCGTTTCACGGAATGCGTCGTTCGGTTTACGAGTGTCATTTTTAGAGATCCCTGGGACTGTCGCTTGAGCCTCAGAGTTAGTGCTTTATGCCGAGAGAGACCTAGCCATGTGGAATTAAACCTGATGCAATGAAGTCGACCCTCTCGACTTAACACCTTTAAACCCTAAGGTGTGTAATTACTATTTCAGTCTACCAACTGTAACTAATTCTGCTTGTCTCGTATTTCGTTACTTTTTTGCCCACGAGCTTCTAACATTTCCTGAGCAAATGCTGGATATTTTCCTGGGTGAAATGAGGTAAGTCCGGACTTCTCTCGGCGCAGTTTTCCTACCGCTGCGTGGCAGTTCGTGTATAGATATTGTGGAACTGCAGCAAACTCCTATTTTCAGTCGATACTACTGTTAACATTCCATCTAATTAGCCTTTTTTTCCCCTTCTAATTCTTTTATAAAACTTATGAACTATGTAAAAGTACGTTTTCCCCACCAGGACATCACATAGAGCGATAAACACACGGTGACACAAAGGCCACCGTGCGGATGAGGATCACCCGTTGAGAGATCCCAGAAACCCCATTCAATCGTTTGGTTATATTAGGGCCCCTGACAACAGCCAGGGTGTGGCTTCAAAATAACGGAACATTGTATCCCACAAGGGGACGGCGAACAATTGATTAAGCACTATAAAATGATAGTGTAATGTAGGTAGTCATAGCTCACAAAAACCATTACAACACAAAATGAAATTTGAAAAAAAAAATGACAAGAAAAAAAAAGGAGTTGAAAAAGAACGTTGAAAATTGGAGTGTAATCATCAGAAGATGGACGAAAAACAGACTCAGAGACTGTACAATGAGGACGACAGCGACAGAAAGAAAGAAAGAGAGAGAGAGCGAGAGAGAGAGAGAGAGAGAGAGAGAGAGAGAGAGTGTACGAGTGTGCGTGTGTGTGCTGGGCATATGTTACAGCTAACCTTCGATGAGGAGATGGAACCTGATTGGCTGAAGCTGCATCTAATGTAAGGGAACACAATTGCGTCTCTCCGAGTGTTAACTCAGGGGTAGCCTCCCTTAAACAAATTCTTGCTAGCTATCGAAACCAAGTTTTAACATAGCGATATGTAAGTCAAAACAATCTTTCCCTGTTTCGAATTTAAACAAAGAAGACACACACAGTAGATTGCAGAATTTATTGCCTGGTATATTTCGCTGCATCTCGTCAGGTGAATACTACAGTAACAATTTATTAAAATGAAGCAAATAAATGAATCCTTGGAACTAAAACACAAAATCAACTACATTCACAAGCTGTCTATTTCACCGTGGCTTTCGGCAGTATAATTAATTATTGGTGATATTTAATAGTGGTGACGTCACGTCAAGCTGATGACATCAGCAGTTAGACCATCCCTACCCGGCCCAGGTTTCACCAGGGTAACTGCAAGTTGAAAAGCATGTCATTTTGTTTGCATAATATTCAAGTTGTAAAGCATTCTTCAATAAAATGAATCCAGCAATCCTGTATTGTAAGTAACGGAACCTTTTCCGCGGATTCAAGTGTGTTGAGCATCTAGTGCTAAACCTACATTTATAGACTAGTCAGCACTTAGTGGGTGATGTGGTGGTCTTTGCTTCCCAGGACATTTCCTGGCAATAATTTTAGACTGGATCAATCTAGCAGCCAAAGTCAGTT